TCCACGTGGCGAACTTTCGCTTCTTCACTCATTGATGTATTTCATTCGTTCTTCGCTGTTTTCGCTTTTTCGAACTGGTCCATGTTTTTAACGTGGTCTGTGTTTACTTATAACTTAATAGAATTACACCTGATACCAAAAATGCTTGGTAGTCACAACAGCAATGCTGATTAAATGAGTTGTCAATTCGTGACATCCGTACAGGTAATTCCCGCGAAAATCGTCTCGGTTGATTGCACACGCACCATAGGGCTGTCAATCAAGAGGTAAAATTTACTTCCGGCAAAAACGTAAAACCGCCATTTCTCCGCCAATATTTAGCCTTTTTCAAAATTTCTCTTGAGAAATTAGAGATTATTCTTCGACCACTACTTTGACCCAAAAATCCAAATTTGAAGAAAATTGCCCACCCGAAGGTATACGGTAACCTTAACGCATTCCCCAGTTGCATGCACGCAGAAATAGCTACAGTAGATGCTGCGTCGTTATGCAACTGACGAAAATGACCGTTTTAGAACATTTGTTCGAGAGTTTACGAGATTAAAGGTCCCAGTTTGTAATACTCCCTTCGAGCTTGATATCAAGAATTGTGACTGGCGGAATGGGCTCGCGTTTGTTCCGCCGCACCGAGTACTTCTTTGTTGCTTTGCGGGGAAGGCATCCATGAGTTCTACCTACGAAGAAAGGCGAGCGATGATTCATGTTGTTCACTCGGTGGTTCTTTGGGCTAAAGCTTTGGAGTATAGTCATGAGCGACTTTCGAAACGAATCATTTAATAGGATAATTACGCATGGATTTAGTGCGCTGTTGGCGTGTGAGACCCAGTACAAAAGCAATGCAACAGACGGAGGTAACGAAATGTATATACCTCCAAAGAAATATATCAGGATATGTAAAACGTGAACTGGAAGCCAACACACAGCAAACAGCGTTATGACAGCCAATAACATCCGCATAACGTGATGGTTTCTTTTCCTGGCCGTAACGGTTACGTGTTCTGCGAGATGATTGCCATCCAAAGATGCTGTTGTCTTGTTAAGTTTCCGTATGATGAGCGCCGACAAGACGGCAATGGAGAACAGAGGTAAAACATAAAGAACAATAGCTATTGTAGCGTAGAAGACTTTCGGGCTCACTTTGTTGCCAAATAATGGTTCCCAGTTCATAGAGCATTGAGTGACTCCATCTGATCCCATCTCCACCTCATGAACGTAAAGAAAAACGCTCATAAATATGACAGCTGAAAACCATATGGCCGTGGATAACAAAATTGGCCTTTTGATAAATGTTGGATACGACAGGGGTTTCACAACGGCAATGTACCTCTCGACAGAAATTGTCAATAATGCGAATATAGATACCGCAATTGTTGTACCGATAACAAAGTTGACCAGTTTGCAACTTATGCTGCCCATGATACCTCCAAACCAGCCGTGCTGTACGTATAAGTACGCTGCGGAGTACGGCATCGCGAAGAGTGCGGTGAGAAGATCTGAAGCCGCCATGTTGGCTATGAGAATAGACACAGAATTAAAAGGGCGATGGAGCCTGATTATGTGTATAAGCAGAATGTTTCCAAGCAAAGCCGTTATAAACGTGACCGAGTACATGGCGGTGAGGCTAACTCGAAGTTCGCTGTCGACATCAAAACCGTACCAGCCGAGAGAGCCGAGGGAAGAATTTTGACTCCCTGTAAAATACGTACCAGATTAAAAACGATTAACAATAATAAAACCCTCTTATACCAATCTTTATTACTTTGTGCAAATCATTAACTTTTCAATGAAAAGGATTTGAATTTCAAAACATCGTAACATTTGCTCTTACTTTGAAGGGCTATTTTTTGTTGTTGAAAAGGCCAATATCTGAGAGAAATCTCTCACACATTGGTCTAATCTGATAGAAACCAGAAAAATGGAAAACCACAGGATATTTTTCAGTAATTTCTCATAATTTCAGGGCGAATTTCGCGTTAAATTTCTGCTGTTATGTTGACGTTCGCGACCTTTTTTACTCAAGTATCCACATAGTCTAACAATATAACACGGTTTTTTTTTTTTTGTTATCATTCGCTCAGTTTCTAGTACAATTGAAATAGATTTAGGGCTTAAACCGATTCGTAAGCAAAAACACATCTCGGATATACACAGCTTCGCGTCTCAGAATGTTCATTTTGAAACAATTATATCGGTCGTGGAAGATGACGTTTCCTTTGGAACATAATTTCTTGTTTGAAGGCACACTTACCATTCCTGATAGTGATATTTTGCATGTTTTCCTTGTAAAACGAGAAGGGTTCAGGTGACCATGGGCAACGTTCTCTTAATGACCCAACTTGCTTGAAAACCTGTCATCCGTTAAACTGATCATGCAAATTTTTTTGTCCATTTAAATGAAAATCCATTCGGATACAGTTTCACGAAAAGCAAAGCATATCTTACGAAACAAACCTAGTTGCTAAGTACTTGTCATTTATTAAAAGCTTTCATCAATAAATTATACCGACGTGCTCCTTCGTTTGCATACGTAAACAGCCACAATTGATGCTAATAAACCCAATGTGATTACCAAGGTGCTACAGATCATCATTCACTGATTTTCGTTTTGTTCGCGAATATCAACTGATACAGTGAGCCAGATTATGAAAATATCTAGCCACAAAGTTCTGAACCAAAAGAAGCAGCGTCAATTTTTTTTTTTAGTATCAGTTAATTGTATTTTAGTACGCTGGGAAGACTTGATTGGTGGTTGGGGTGCTTGGAAGTGTAAGAGAGTGTTTTTATGCTCTACTGCGGATAATCTAAGTTATAGATAAGTTGTTAACAAGAACGGTTTGGTACATTGTTTATTGAAGCTTCAACAAAATGTCCAACATCGTCGGGTATTATGAAATGCGTTAAATCCTTTAAGAATCTTTGATTTACGTCATAGAAAGAGATATTTCCGATATAATGAATCCTTTTGTTCGCCGTGGAAAGCTTTAATCTCAAAGATGTGAAAAAATATAAGGCACACACCTGCCTTTCACAAGTGAGGCCGACGCGCGCTTTTAACTCCTAAGTTGACGCAGAGTCTTACTTCTTTACGGCCCACAAACAAGTGTTTGAACTAACTGAAATCCACAGATAATTTTTCCATTATGAAGAAAATCATGCGTGATTGCCGTGCGAGATTATTCATAATTGGCCTGTCTTTTTGCAGTCTTCAGCTTGGTAATAAAATAATTGAATTGACATACAGCGTTCTTATGCCGTGGCGTCAAGAACAGCCAATCAAGTTTCAGTGTTCCTTAAGATTAAACCCTTAAAAATCTAAGCGCATTTACTTTAAAACACGGGAAAAGGAGTGTTTAAAATATGAATACAAGTGTTTGAAATTATATTTACTTTTTGCCTTTAGGTTCGATCGTAAAAGAAAAAGCTGTGTAACTCGGAAATTGCTAAGTCATTGTTTATCGTTCTTTTTTTGTATCACGGTGGGGCTGGCGAAAAGCAATTGTTTTGTTACACATTTGGTTGATAAACTGAGCACCAGAAACAAAGCACTAATACCGGACTCCTTCGAGGCTGAAGTTTTAAACGAAGTTGAGCCTGTTGGAAGAAATGAAAACAAAATGAGTTAATGTAATGTTGAATAAAATAACGCTGTGGCGGCGGTATCGCCTGTTTAAACATCACATGTCAAAATTTGTCTATCTCAGCAAAGTGAAGTTTTGACCATATCTACGTTGATCCTGACATCGTTGTCACCCACATGCAAACATTTTGTTGATGTTTATACATATGGAACGAACAAGACATTCCCGCCACACTGCTTTTGACACATTGACTAGGACTGATCTACTTCGATACAAAATACGAGATTTAATAATACTAAACTGGCTCTACGCTAGTAATCCTCTGCACATCGTCAAACAATCGAGCCAAGAACCATATTCCTCTATCTCTTTTCGTTATTCTTCATTACACTTATTTTACAGTATTGTTAATATAGTTGTATAAAATCTTATTTCATTTTCTTGGACACACTTCCAGATAACCCCTTTTTACACTGAGCTTTATAAAAGCAATATACGAGGGGCATTCGCTAACAAATTTTGTTAATTTAAAGATTGGCGCACGTACTGCACATTATTTAGGGATGTGATAAAATGATAAGACATTTTACTCACCTTTCGATTACTATCCTGAGTCTATTTAAGCACCATGAGTAAGATTATGGTAAGCGACACGCTGGCTCCAACGAGCACGACGAAAACAAACATAAAAGTACGAATCATTGCTTCCTAGATGGATAAAATAAATCTATTTTAGAGGAAAATAGTAATTATCAAATGGAATCCAAGATGAGAAAGGCATTAACCCTCAGAAATTCAGTGTTAGGGGTGACTCAGGGCGCTTTCCATTCTACTAAAAATTCCGGTTTGAATTTCCAGAAATTTCCAGCAGTGAATGAAACAGCATTTTCCGAAATTTCGCGAAAAGAGGGCGACCTCGCGAGGTATATCCAAATTTTTGACAATTTCTTTCCAGGAAATTCCGTTCCATTGGATGTTTTCTCTCGAAATTTTCGGTTGAATGGTTTATATTTCCGAAATTCAACAATTTTCGGATTTTTGAAAGAACACTTTCATACTGTTTGTCCCTTTTCGAAGTTCCGGAATTTTTGGTTCAATGCATTGTAATCGCTCCAATTATGGGCTTGATCACTTCGTGGTAAGTGGTAAAACTTAGTTGTGTTAGTTGTGTTTTATCTCAGTCAGAGCGCAGTTCCATGTTAAATAACTCGTATGAATGGTGATTAAAATAATGTGGTTGATGTTCGACCTTGTACAGCTTATGATTATAAGATGTCATCATGGACAGAGTCTGCTATTTAGAGTTGCTAAGGCGGAGTTTCGAGAAGTACGACAAAATAAGAAACCTTTGTTGAAAGTCATTCTTGTAATTGTTGCGTCGTCGTTTATCCTGAATTGTTGTGTATAGGTGTTCAGCTCACATTTATTAGTTGCCAAAATCTTCATCCGTTTTCCATATAAAAAAGGGGGAATGTGTAGCAGCTCCATGATAAGTGGTTCATGGATGTATAACTGATTCGTAAGGGACAGTATTATAAGTTACCTTTACTGGCATTTCAGTCTCTGGCGAAGCTCCGGTCTGATGTCCAGGTTGCTCCATGGGAATACCTATCACAAAAATTGAAATAAGGCACCCACATGAAAATTTCACCATTTGGAGAAAACTCCGCTTTTTCAACTCGATACTTACAGAAACTGATCATAGACAGTTGGTAAAATTCACAACTTGGAAGAAGAGCTGCCCACATCTACAGCACAGTGGTCATGCATGCAAGCCACTAACTGGTCTAAAATAGCAGATGTCATCTCAAAGTTATCACGAACAATATCAGTTACCTCAGGAGTTTTACTTTTCTCCTTACTTACACCCTATTGAGGAGGAGGCCGAAAAGGAGCATTTTCTTACCTCTTGCAGTACCCATTGGAACAGACCTCTTCTCGCGATTTCGTTTGGATATGATCAGATACACCTCAAATAAGAAAACAAGAAATTCTGCAATGTAGAAGGTGATCACTGGCCAAAGTCCCTTTTTTCCTAAGCCGACTTGATTAGTATTTAATCCAAAGTAGATTGAAACAACTGCGAAAGAGAAAAACAATTACAGGGCATTACAGACAAATGATAAAACAAACAAATTTCATCTTCTGTTACACATGTGACTGTTTTGTTTTCAAACTCACAGAATGTTTTCATCCGTTACCCAGAAACCTACCTCCAAGAATCAGCGCTAAGGTACCGACACACCTATGAACCCAGTTAAAAATGCTGCGCCTACAACACAACGGAAAACAAAACAACAACAAAAAAAATTGAAGTTACTATCAAATTCCACAGCTACTAGAACTAGAAATTTTCTATATCTTGCAAACTATTTCTTAACAAAAGGCGGCCGCTCAGTTCTTTCCGTTTCCGAAGTGTCTGTGAAAAGGATTTAGATAATTTACCAGTCGATCGGAAGATTTATACTAAAACAATTAAGTTATTCGCTCTCGACCTCTACGCGTGATAGTTGACACGGGCTGCGCGATAGAAATCTCGAGCTCATAAATTAATTGTCTGGTAGAATGGAGGGAAAACATCCGAAACAAAAACTTTAGTCTCTTAGTAAAGCGGTAAACAACAACATTCTCTTGAGATATAGACTCCCCGGCGTCCGAATCCAGCCCGTGTGCAGCTAGGTTCGAACTCGTTTTCACTACATAAGAATTGGTAAAATGAATTCGCCACCCTACCTCGGTTCACCCGGATGTGGTCTGAATGCCGCCATGATTGGCTGAGCAAGTGCAAGGGCGAGAACGACGATACCAAAATAAGGGTGCACTCCAGCCCCCTAATAAAACAATGTTAAATGCATATGGATAGTTAATTACTAACTTAAACGTGAACGGTGTGAGCCGTATACTACCATGTCAGACTCGAAAAGTTGAGCCTTTCCGCGTCTCAGCAATACGAAAATCAGGTTTTCTTGCAAACCGTAGTCGCTTTGTGATATAAAATGATTCGCTTCAGAACAGTTTCGACGGAGAATTTTAGTCAAGTCTTTGCCAGACTGAATCAATAATCAAGCAGTCATAAACTGTATCCATTCCGTCCCTCTAGCTATACCCAAAAGCCTCCGCCCAGATCGAAAAAGAATCATTGTTGCGGAAAAGTTGTTTCCCTACATGTTTTCCGTTGCAATTGGTGCGCACATAAACATTTCATGAAGAAGAAAAATTTGCTTATGAGAAGCAAAATTTGTTACTGAAATTATCATATGTTTTTCGTCGTTTGCACACAATTTTGGAAAGCAATGTTTCCACCAAAACGTTTCCTCATTTGCAGAGATTTTGACTTAATTTTATGACTTACCGATGACCAGCCTTTCACGTGAACAAAGATCACAACTATCCCTGCCACTGTCAACAGTACTGTTATTGTCATCAGTGTCCGATGAACCTGTTAATCGTAAGATAGAACAGCTACGGTGAACACAAAAACTGCAATGGATTTATGAAAAAACTCAAAGTAGGAGCTAGAACTTTTTATTCCTGCATCGAGTCTGACAGAGCTGTCTAAAATGGTCAGGCTGTGAAGTAGCATTTGAAGAAATCAAAACTATTATACCCTCCACTGAACTTGTTAATAACGTGCTTGAGTATTTGAACAGAATTTAAGCATCACCAAATTTGACACTTTAAGTATGACTTTGTTGACTGATATACAGAGAACTGGCCAAGTTCGCAGGCCCACGGCATCAAATTAGGAAACGAAACTTGTGAAGAAACTTTTTGAGAGGCATAGTCCAGTCAAAAATGAGCTGAAAATCAAAACGATTCACAAAATCATCAAATCGTGAGTAATTGCCAAAGTAATATCACCAGATACTAAACACTTCATCAATTCAGACAGGCGTGGTTGAAAGAAAGAACTTAAAAGTAGGGTCTTAAATTTGTTGCTTGAAAAAGCATCAGACTATGGAACGTTTTGTGAGACAGTATAGCGTGAGCCACTTTTATTCTACTTTTGTTTTGGAATTGATACCAACCGCGAACCAAGCTTTCGTCCCCAATAATTGTTTGGGTTCCCAGACTTCGCGCATGTATCGTGCCGTGAACAAACCCACAAATGCAAATAAAATCCAAGCAAGTGTCATCAGAGTTCCTGTGTCAGATGAAGAAGTTAGTCGTAGGAAGGCATGAAGCCCATAGGATAACCCTCTTAGCTCTCTTTGTTCCAAATACGGGAACTATCAAATTTATCCACTGAGGTTAGAGGACAGATCCTATTACGATAACTATAAGCAACAATGGGTGGCAAAGTAGTTGAGACACTTTTAGAAATGACGCTTTGTTTAATGCCTTATTCTCTTTCAAATACATCTCACGATGATGATTATCTAACACCCGTGACGCCACCCCCCTCCCTCTTCAATTCAATTAGTGCTGTTGTCTGCGCAGTCTTACAGATAGAAAGAAGCAGCATAGTTTGAGATAATCCAACGTTTTAATATTCATAAATTGATTGATTGATTGACTGACTGACTGACTGACTGGCTGATTGATTGATTGATTGATTGACTGACTGACTGACTGACTGACTGANATGCAACTTCCAGTTTTTTCTGGAATCGGTGTATTGAAAAGAGACGTGTTAATAGGCCCTTTGCAGCTAAGCCATCACGTGACCTACTTTTCATAAAATTATGAGCTATAACTTAATGAATGCCAGAAATGGAAAAAGCTTGTCGAAAATATCAAAATGGCCAAGTTTGAGACCCCCATCATCAGAATGAGATTTTATGATGGTCTGAATTTTTGAAAGAATAAGAAGATTTGTATGGAAAAATGTTGCTGGAGAGCAAGACCTTGCTCTGCAGCAACATTTTCCATACGAATCCTCTAAATTTTCCGAAAATTCAAACTATGGTATAAACTTACTCGTTTTTTCCTGGGGCCTCAAACTTGGCTATTTTGGTATTTTCGATGCGCTCTTTCCATTTCTGGCATTCTTTTAGTTATAGCCCATAATACAAAAATTTTTTAGGAAAAATTTGGTCACGTGACCCCAGCTGCAAAGGGCCTATTACATTTAAAAATGTTATGTGCCGATCAATAACGAAGCTCCTGACTAGAAGAGATCACTTTTGATCAGTCTTTAGTGTGAGTTGTTAACAAGGAGTGTCCCTTTATGAACGTTTTCAAAATTGTCATTTTCAAGTTTTTAATGAAAACGAAAGATAAATATCCCAAACACACTTACGACAATCATCTGAGTTTACCAGCCGTAAAATAAGGAAGTGGTGCTTCTAAATTTGAGATCATAAGCTCCTTGGCGGTTGATGCTATTTTTTTCTGGTAAACTACAGTAGCTACGGGTAAAGTTATCCAAATTATTACCATAATCTGGTCATCGCTAAATCCCACTGCTACCCAGTCACCTTTGCCGCTCAACTCGAACTCTACTTCACTTGAGTTTGTCGCGCTGTACGTCACCAAGAAATCACAGTTATTGCCGCAGTCGGTTGGAAACATAAAGCATCCTTTTTCTATTCCGCAGCCGTCTGTGGTGATCTAAGAAATGGCATTTGAAACAAGGAATATTGTTCAAGCATCGAGAACAAAGCAGTTTTCTTATTT